ACCTTATGAAATAGTATAATGGGGGGAAATTAACACAATCTACTAAAAAAAAACACTTAGAAATTATCAGCTGGAAGGTTACCAAGTAAGAAAAACATGCATATCCGGTAATTTAAGCTCAAAATCCTACCTGGTTGATAAATCTCTTCCTCAATTGGTTAGACAAGAGAACAGCATCGACCTACAAAAATATAAAAGGAATAAAACATTAATAGACTTCCTTGACGTACGCTTAGAAACTATCCTAGGTCAGGGGAGAATAGTTCAAATTTGATTCCATTCTGCATACCTGCTCACTTTTGGACCCTTTTTTAACAAACTCCAATTCCAATCTGAGTAATGCCAGATTGAAATCATCTGGCGGGATAAATCTAAGAAAAGATCAGTTTGAAAGCATTATGATTACTGAAACAGCTGCAAAAGAAAAGAAAAGAAAAGAAATAGAGTAAAGTACAGGCAAAGACCTGGCCGCAGATATTTTGTCCCCAGTTGAAACTCTAGCATGACGACGCTGAATAGCATTTAAAGCAATGTAGCCACTGCCAATGCTTCCGTGAGGAGTTTTTCTCAGTCAAGAACACAAAAATAAAATAAAATGAAAGAGAACCCTCAACATAGAATGTGCACATACTCTCCCTTTTAACCTAGTATAATTGAATTTTTCTAGTTACCAATTTCCATTACAACCTTTGCTTGATTTAGTAGACAACAAAAACAGTAATAAAAAATAAAAAAAATAAAAAAAAAAAAACTAAACGAGCAGTACCATAAATGTCAAAATTTCCATACAGAGCACAGTGGTTTTCTCAAAGAACAGGCAATAATCTCAGCTGATTTAGAAGTAGGATAATCCATAGATTAACCTTTAGACACAGATTAACCTTTAGACGAGCTAAAAACCGCACCAAGCTAATGAACTATGCTCATTGAAAATAAGGCATAATTAAAAATTAAGGCACCGTAAAACAGGATATACACCTAAGAGAAGGAAGAGTAAAGCGAGAAAATAAGAATCAAAATCCGAGGATTGAAAATGATTGAGGAAAAAGTAAAGAAATGGAAAGGATATGCGAGGGAAAGAACAAAGGAATCGGCAACCAACGCAAGGAAGAGCTTAGTGCCAGGGACGGCGTAGTTTTGCAGATCAGAAGCGGAGCAGTAAGCAAGATTAGTGAGGGCGAGGTCCGCCGCCGGTGTATTGGTAACGATCATGGTGGCCGGAGCAGTTGAGGAAAGCCCGAACCGACCCGCCATTTTCCCGCGAGGTGTTTAGATCTCTGCGATCGCCAGGAGAAAGAACCAGAGACTGAAGATGGAACAAGTCGTGCAGAGAAGACGGAGAGGGAAGGTCCTTCCAGGAAAATATTCACACGTAAAACCAATAAAGAAAATTAAAAAATTAAAAAATTAAAATAAATAAATAAAGTAAACAAACAAGAAAATAAAGGAGGCTAATATAATTTCTTCTAAAAATTACCTTTTAACTTTTAAAAATTTAATAATATCCTCAAATTTTCAAAAAATAAAAATAAAATGAAATAAAAAATATGTTTGATTTTCAAAAATACCATTTAATTTTTAAAAATGCTTTAAAAATAGAATTTCAAAAATTCTTTTAAATTTTTTTAAAAAAAATTCAAAAATACCCCATTCGTTTAAAAAAAATTATGAGTATTTTCAACCTACTAATATTTTTAAAATTTTTAAAAATTGTAAGGATATTAATGAAACTATTAAAAATAAAAGTACGAGGATATTTTTTAGATTTTTTAAACTTGTTAATATTTTTGAAAATTTAAATATAAAATTTATGGGTATTTTTATTAATGTTTTTAGATTAATTTTTGTTTAGGTAATTTGAACGGGGCTTAAAACCTATTTTAATTAAATTGGATTTAAGAGAATTGAATTTGTAAATTTTTCAATTATAGTTATTGAGTAAATTTTAGTTTAATTTTGAAAAGCCGAAATTTATTATTTAAAGACAAAAACCGAGATATTAGTATAAACTTATATGCCATATAAACCATGACAATATTTTGTTGCACTTTTAATTTTCATTTATTATAGTACTTGACAACGGTTTTATATTACGAAGGTCAAATGTATAATTCTACACTAGAAAAGGATAACGATAAAAATTATAGTAACGTTGAAGAGACTCAAGTCATCGCTGGCAAGATGGAGAAGGGACCATATAGGTATTTAGTAGTCGACGGGAACGAGGTCACTCCTCCCCGAACTTGCATAACATTATGAACCTATTTGAAAAGTTTGTAATTTTAAATGAAGTAAATAAATAAAAGAAGGGCTAAAAGGCAATTTAATGAACTCATAGATAGGGTACCCTTTCAAAGAAGGTTTACTGGCCATTTCTATGTCACGGCTTTGTATGAGAATCATTTACAAAATAAGGTAAATTGATATGAACCACGACTAAGAAATTTTCATACCTCAAGTTCCAATTATAAAGACGAGAGTCAAGAAGTTACAACAAGCTTTGTACACTTATTTTCAAGCTATAGTGAGTTCGTTAAAGGAAATTCTAGAAAACGAACTTAGTTGAATTTATGGAACTAGTCCAAGGATAATTAATAAGCACATTTTCTTTATTGCATTATTTAATTATCATTTAAATATTTATTGGTCATATTTAAGCTGGTTTTTAATATAGGAGTTAAGTGATATGTAATCCACGTAGGTTATCATAATTCATCATTAACTAGTAATTTTAATATGGAGGTTATGAATATTTCTCATTAACTAGCCATTTTAAGATGTGATGTGTCACATACGTTAAGTCGTCAAAGGCTTGTCTTCTTTTCTTTTAGTGCAGACATCACATTTTAGAATTAAAAAGAATAGAGTTTCTATTTTAGCTTTATTGAGAACTATTTTTTTTACTCTGCAAATTCTTGTGTTTAAAATTTGTATGCTATAATCATTCAAGTGGTATTGATTAATCTTGTGGAGTGATTTGAATCACGAGTTTTCTTTAGTCTTAATCTTGATCATCAAGGTAATCCGTTCCAAAACTTTCCCTGGGGTTGATTCTATACCATAAATACTCAATAAGAAATTTTCTATTACGATAAAATATGCAAACTATTATATGGCTAATGATACTAAATCTAGAGATCTTAGTTAATTACCTGAAACACACACGTGAAATTTTCCACTTAAACCACTTCTGCCATCATTTCTCAAAGTGAATATTAGTGACTAGTTACCTAATTCACATTGGGTAACTATTACCACATATAAATTAACATCGTTATCAATTCTCGATTACCTCTCATAGCATGTAACCCTTATTATGATAACAATTTTCTATGATCACTCTATAAAGTGACCGTTTGTAGTTGGTTACCCGATTCACACAACGTGTAACCTTTGCCATAATCTTCACATTCATCAAACATAATTCATCAAACATAATAGGCATGAATTAGGTTCCAAAAACATTTAGGAATTCCATACAAAATATCATTTAGGAATTCCATGAAATAATATTTATTAAAAATAAAAATTTACAAATACGTTACAACTGAAATTCTCTCAACAAAATCGCACTATGAAATATAATAAAACACAATGAAAAAATTTGGAGTCTACTTTAGACTTCTATCTAACAGGTTTGTAGCTACCAATTACCTCGCGCATCATCTTCAACTGATATCCTTGCACCACTTACAATGCAGAGAAGCACGAGTAAGTAGCTCACTTATTCTACTTCATCAACTACATAGTTTAAGCCTAGCTACTAAGACATCAATAGCTATAACATAGATTTCCGATCGTAGGTTGCTTGTTGTAAATAAGACTTATTTTGCTTAATTGTTCTTATAACTCGACTCCATAGAGTTTAGTTATCACTTCAGCCCAATCAACTTCATAATTGTTATATATGTTCCATGGGTCAACTTTCTGTAAACTACACGTGGATTCTCGTGTAACTACTTATTCTCAAGACTTGCTTGTGTCTGAATGTTGCATAAATACGTCTTAGGTTTCTTTAAGCCGTTTAGCTTTTATTGAGCCCCTATGTTATTTTATGTTTATAAGTAAATAATAATAATAAGACAAAAAAGAAAAAAAAAAGTTCTGGACACTTGGAGAAAGCATATTACATGGTGGTATTGATATGGATAGAAGAGGTTGTGTTTAAGCACAGGGTTAGAAGCGTTTTAGGCCGATTAGGGGTGAGGGCGGGCAAGAAAATAGAAGTCCTTACTTACAACTGGTAGCTTGTTTAGGGTTTCAACCTCAACAGTTGGCAACTAAACACGAGGGTTGCGCTCGTTGCGAGACTTATCCCAACACCTTACGACACAAGCTGATGACAACCATGTACCACCTATGACCGCGTTCCCGAAAGCACCCCTTTCTTTCAAGAGGATTCGTATGATGTCCCACATTGGTTGGGGAGGAGAACAAAACACCCTTGTGTGGAAGAACAAAACACCATTTATAAGAGTGTGAAAACCTTCTCCTAACAGACGCGTTTTAAAGCTTCGAGGGGAAGCCCGAAAGGGAAAACCCAAATAAGACAATATCTGCTAGCGGTGGATTTGGGCCTTTACAATTCGTGACTTTCCAAGGCCCGCCTCATGGTATCCACATACATATATGTTGACCTAAAGTGTGTACTTTGTAGATGAATGCTTTTTTATCTTCTTTAGCATAGGGTTTACCTCTAAGTAATGAACAATTATTATTATTATTATTATTTTGTCGACATTTTCGTCGATTATTATTATTATTATTATTATTTATTTTGTCGACATTTTCCTTGATTATTATTAATATTATTATTTTGTAAAAGAACCAAGTTTAGGATTGACTCATCCAACAACTCAATCACAAGCTCAAATTCCAGTCATACTCTTGATTGGGCGAAAATTTTAATTTCTATCTTAGAAGTTCGAAATGTGTTCATCCTTGAAATCGGAAATTTTGTACTGTTTTGTTGAAGGAACTTGATCGAGCGGGCCATTATTGTTATAGCCCAGCCCAGATTCTTGCTTCAGTTTCCAATTCAATCAATTCAGATTTTAGTACTGTTTCTGCTTCCGCTTCCGCTTCGAACGAATCAGGATTCACGTTACTGCTCATTGCTGTTCCCATTATCATTATCCGACCAAGTGATGAACGTTGATGAAGCTGCTTCTTCCTCCCCGTAATTTGCAACCCTAACTCTCATTTCAGGTATTGATTTTCCCCCTTTTCCTTTTTCATTTCAATCCCTTCTTACTCTTCAATTTCTTGCAGTTTTTTCGCTTTCAGCCTTCACTTGCTGCCCCCACATGCCCACTCCGTTCTGTTATTCCTTCATTCTGATCACTAGAACTCAAATTCAAATTAAGACGAACTTACCCATTGCCATTCCTCACATCCAAATCTAACCCCCACTCTGTTGGAGTTTCATGTTCTTTTAAATTTTTCTTGGGACTTTTGCTTTCTGCAATTCTGGGTTTTGGTTGATGTTGAGAAACATGATTGTTGGTTTCAATAGACTGTTTGATTTATGGAAATAGAGTTCATTTTCCTTTCACTTTGGTGTTGTTCGATTCTGGAGTGAACTCATCTTGATTCATCGTGCTATTCTAGTCTGAGCTTATTAAGATTTATGGGTTTCGGTGCCATTCTCTGGACTTCTGTTTATTTCTTTTCCCATGTCCCTTATATTCTTGAATTCTATTTCTTCATTGTAGATAGGGAAGAGTTGATGTTTAGGTGGAATTTCAAAATTTGACTTCCTGGAGGATCCAAATTTCAGAAGGTATTCTAAGATAGTATGATTCTAAGCTTGGACGATGGCTTAAGATAGTATGATTCTGTTTTAGTTGGTGATTTTTCTGTGGGAAAATCAAAATTTCTTGCAATATTTGTAAGCGATTATTCAACAGCAATTTGAAGTCAACCACCAGGACAATCTTCTATTAATGTATACTTCTTTTGGAAACATTGTTAAACGGACCAAAAATCTTTGTTCTTTGGAGCCTAAGATTATTAATCATATTGAGAACTCTTGCAAATCTAGCTTCTTAGCTGGGAATATTGGAGATGGAAGTGGTTGTCCAACCAAGATGAATATTGAATCAGAGCGTGAAACCGAATGGGAGAGTTTACTAGAACCTTTTGATCTCACAAAGCTTAGAAAGTCTCACATTCTGATTACCCCTGTTCAACTATGCAAATTGCTTGAGCTTCCACTTGATGTGCCCACATTGTTGGAAATATTTGAACGGGTGGGTGCCCAAAAGGGTTATTGCCATACATTTGATGTATACTATGTGCTAATAAATAAGCTTGGAACAATTGGGGAGTTCAAGGTTATAGATAAACTGTTAACACAGATGAAAGAAGAAGGGATTGTTTTTCGAGAGTCCATTTTCATGATCATTATGAAACATTATGGGAAAGCTGGACAACCTGGACAGGCAATTCGATTGCTCCTAGATATGAGAGCTGTTTATTCATGTGAATCAACTTTTGAATCTTATAATGTAGTTTTGGAAACACTCGTGACGGGCAATTGTCCAAAAGTTGCTACGAATGTTTATTATGACATGTTGAGTAAGGGTATTTCTCCTACTGTTTTTACTTTTGGCATTGTGATGAAAGCTCTTTGTATGATTAATGAGGTCGACTCTGCATGCTCACTCCTTAGAGACATGACAAAGCATGGATGTGTACCGAATTCTATAGTTTATCAGACGTTAATACATGCGCTATCCAAAAATAACCAAGTTAGTGAAGCGTTAAAGCTTTTAGAAGAAATGTTTGTTATGGGATGCATGCCTGATGTTCAAACCTTCAATGATGTTATTCATGGCCTCTGCAAGGTAAATAAAATTCAAGATGCAGCAAAATTGGTTGATCGAATGCTTCTTCGAGGTTTTAACCCAGATAGTATGACTTATGGTTTTCTGTTGCATGGATTATGTAGGATTGGAAAACTCAATGAAGCAAGAGCATTATTGAACAAAATTCCTTGTCCAAATAATGCGATCTTGAATACGTTAATCAATGGGTATGTTATGAGTGGACGACTTAAGGAAGCTCAAAGCTTTCTTAATGAGACTATGATAAACTTTGGTTTTGACCCTGATATTTTTACATACAACATCTTGATGCATGGGCTTTGCAAAGAGGGGAGTCTTGGTTTTGCTCGTGATTTGGTTAATGAGATGTCTAGGAGGGGTTGCAAGCCGAATGTGATCACATATGCAATATTGATTGATGGGCTTTGTAAAGCTGGGTGTCTTGAAGAGGCTGGTCTTGTTTTACATGAGATGTCAACAAAGGGATTGACTATAAATACAGTTATATACAATTGCTTGATATGCGCCCTATGTAGGAATGAGAAGGTTCATGCTGCTTTAAATCTGTTTCGTGAAATGCCCACGAAAGGTTGCAAGCCCGACTTATTTACATACAATTCTCTAATCTTTGGATTGTGCAAGGTTGATCAGATTGATGAAGCCTTCAGGTTGTTTCATAATTTGTTATTGGACGGTGTTGTTGCCAACAACGTGACTTACAATACACTGATTCATGCACTTTTGAGGAGAGGTGCATTCCAAGAAGCGCTTACACTTGTTAATGATATGTTGTTCAGAGGCTGCATCCTCGATAAGATTACTTACAATGGACTGATAAAAGCGTTTTGCAAAGCTGGGAATGTTGAAAAAGGATTGGAATTATACGAGAAAATGATAATGGATGGACTTAACGCTGATACAATATCGTGTAATATTCTCATCAACGGGCTCTGTAAAGTTGGAAAAGTGGACAATGCATTTGAGTTTCTAAGAGATGCGATTAATCGAGGTTTCGTGCCTGACATAGTCACATATAACAGCGTTATAAATGGACTTTGCAAGGTTGGACGTATCAGGGAAGCCTTAAATCTATTTGATAGATTACAAGTCGAAGGTGTTCGCCCTGATGCTTTTACGTATAATACTTTTATCAGTTGGCACTGTAAAGAAGGCATGGTGAATGATGCTTGTTTATTTTTTTATAGAGGTATAGAGAATGGTTTTGTACCTAGTAATGTGACTTGGAATGTGCTGGTCAATACTTTGGTAAAACAAAGTCACGAGAATATGTTTTTCGTGTCAGATGAGTTCTGATGATAAAATGCGCTCGTGTTGTGTTAGATGTTCTTCTGGTAATTACTCTTCTCTTGTCATTATTTATAACTGAAAAGTGTATTCTGAGACATTTCAGTTTCTCTCTGTGAAGCATACATTTATCAGAATGTTTAGAAATATATGTAAATTTGTGAATTGCCAACGCCCGTAGAAACAAAATTACGAAGCTAAGGAAATTTTCACTTGATTGAATAAGTTTTGTGTGTGTTCATGCCTCGTTCATATTAGCCTGACTTTACTTGATTTGAGTTCCTTACTTCCACTATTTTGCTCGATTATCGATTTATTTTCTTCTTTTGAAGAGTTTCATGATAGAATAATTTGCACCAAAGTAGATATCATAGTATTTCTGCTTCTGTATGATCTTTGAAGAGGATTTATGATGTAGATTCTCCTATATTGCTTTCCGTCCAAAATCACCAAAACAAAAAAAGCTCGTATAGAAGACCACGAGATCGTTCTCTCCTTTTAAAACGATGATATCTGAGAATAGTTATGTGAGTGATGTTATTAGTTAGAAGAGTTGTTTGCAAGGAAAGGGGGATTCTTTTCTCTTTTTTCACCAGCAAATGGGCAAGTAAAGAAAAACATCTGATCATGTGATTGCCTTTTGTTGCATCCTTTGCATGTAGAATATGAATTGATCTTGTCATGTCACTTTTCTCTGTGGACGATGAAATTGTGTAAATTAATATTTGAGTCTGGGTCGTAAAGTGAGATATCTCACATTGGTTGGGGAGGAGAACGAAACACCCTTTATAAGGGTGTGGAAACCTTTCCCTAGCATACGCATTTTAAAACCTTGAGGGAAGCCCGAAAGGGAAAACCCAAAGAAGACAATATCTGCTAGCAGTGGGCGCGTTACATAAAGAGACTCCAATCATCACATGTGACATTTGTAGTTACTCTTTTTTGTGCTTGTGTGTCTGTTCCAATGTTTCGCTCGAGAAAGTCATTCTTTGCTGGTGCCAAAATCTTGTATGTTGTTCCATCTCTATAAAGTATTTGAATGTATATAAAAGATGAGGAAAATACAGCTTATATATATATATACATATTTGTGAATTCATATCGGTTACTGGATGATAAAACTGGGCTGGTCGCCCGCTGGTCACGTGCAAACGCATTGCTCTCAAGGTATTGAGTTTAATCTTGCTTGGCAATAGTATCCTATACATGTATATTGGTCTATTGGTGATAAGTTACTCATTTAATAATAGAATGTCATAATATTGTCTATTGGCTTCAGAATATAGGTAGCTCATAGATTCTTTCTTTACTCCATGAAGTAAGTACTCACGAAATGTGTCTGCCAGCCTATTTTATACCTTTCCCTTCCTTTCAAGTTTCCCTTTATATCTTCACGAATTCTATTTCTTTGATTGTGAATAGGGAAGAATTGCATCCTGATGTTGAATTTGAGTTTGTGAAGAACCCTGATTTCAGAAGGTATTTTGAAACTATTATGGTTCTATACAGTTTGTGTGAGGTCTGAGCAATGGCTTTTTATTCTGAGGAGGAAAAAACAGAGGATTATCTTTTCAAGATTGTTTTAATTGGTGATTCAGCCGTGGGAAAATCGAATTTGCTTGCTCGATTTGCTCGAGATGAATTCTACCCTAACTCGAAATCAACCATCGGAGTCGAGTTCCAAACCCAAAAGATGGAAATAAATGGAAAGGAAATCAAAGCTCAGATATGGGACACTGCTGGACAAGAACGATTTAGAGCTGTTACATCTGCTTATTATCGAGGAGCTGTTGGAGCTCTCGTGGTATACGACATTAGCAGGCGTCCGACCTTTGACAGCATTGGAAGATGGCTGAATGAACTTCACAGTGAGTATTATAATAACGATGCGCTTTTTATTTGTAATGATATTGTCACGGTGTTAGGTTGTTTATGTCGGGAAGTTTTCGTCGTGTTTATAACCTGAAAGGACTGATTGGGTCATCGATGTTTTATTAAACAGCTCATTCCGACATGAACGTAGTAACCATACTGGTAGGCAACAAGTGTGATCTGAAGGATGGTAGAGAAGTAGGTACTGCTGAAGGGAAGGCTCTGGCAGAAGCTCAAGGTCTGTTCTTCATAGAAACCTCGGCCCTCGATTCCTCGAACGTAACAAACGCTTTCCAGACAATCGTGAAGGAGATCTACAACATACTGAGCCGAAAAGTTATGATATCTGAAGAACATAAGAAGGATGGGAGGTGGATGGAGAATGGAAGAAGTACCGTAGTGTTACATGGAAAGGAGGAAGTAGAAGAGGAGGCCAAAAGAGGTAGCTGTTGCTCATCTTAGTACTTTACATATTCCATTGCTCTGAAACTCTGTATCTTATGTTGTCTTCTCTGTAAACAATATTCATGTTTGTACTTGAAAATTAGTAGGAGTTATTGATTTGATTTGATTAGCTGGCGGAGTCGTGTTTGTACTTGAAAACGATTCCAGGGACGGGGGCAGGAATATGTTCTCGTACTGGTTTAGCTGACGGGAAAAAATTAATTAACAAAACGTTCCAAAAAATAATTATATAATAAATTACATTCCGTCCTTATTGAAGAGTGGGTCGCACGCTTCTCACGAGTGAAAACATGAAACATAATGAGTAGTTCCTAATAATAAAAACTTAGATATGTTTGGCACGTTTAATTAAAATAATTGACCTATTGAAAAGTCTGACTATCGTGTGATTGTAAGTTTTACACCGTTCACCTTGTTCGGGCAAATAAAGCATAGATAAGGTTAATTTGACTTGTTTTTTAACTCCTAGGTAAATCTCACTCGCAAGTGGTTATAAATCACACGAATTTTATTGCCCATCAACTCCGTCTTAGAAAGTTGTTATGATTAAGTGATCGTCATTGCATTTTGATTGAAATTGAGGGGTATTATTGCCATGGTTTGTCTTAGATTGTCATCGCACACCCAGATTTGTGCACAATCGACCACAGATCCGTCGGTAAGTCCTTGAATTTGGGATATGAATTTTTTTTGAGTTTGGTAGCTATTTTATGTTAGATTTCATCAAGCATGGGTTGTGCAACCATCAAATTGGTAGAGGTTGTTAGGATAACCACCGTAGCTCGGTCACTGCCATTGAGCCATGTTGCAGTGAGTTGGTGTGGATCATCACTAGAGAATAACGAAAGGAAACGTGCAAGGATGCTAGCTTGTGCATTCGATTTGGTTCAACATGCATCTTGGTTCATTTCAATGTATGCAAGCGGTTCGGGTCAACAATCAATTAATTAACGGTCAATAGTTTAGTTGAACCGATTGAATTCAAGTTTTTCTCTTGATTCATTTTTAAGACCGGTTTACCCTGGATTTGCGTCAGAGACATTACCTATCGGTATTCATTGTTTTCATTTGCACGTGTTTTCATTGCATAGTCCATTGGTATTAATCTAGTTTTCGAATCTTTCGAAGGTCATGACAAAAACATCTAACATTATTATCTTGCTAACATTGTGACCCATTTTGTAATGGTTACAAATGATTTAATCCAAACCCATTTTGTAATGGTTACAAATGATTTAATCCAAATCTTTCATACGAAGACGTGTGAGTGGGGGCATCTTATACATTAAGTTTGTATAAGAATGGACAATAAAATATTTACCTCTCTCTATAAATCTATGAGAAGATTACTATTCACAGGATTATCATATGCGACTCGATTTTAATTTTGAAGGGGTTACGAACTCTTGTGAGGGGTTGTTCTTTGATATGCATGGGTGAGAATGACTACTTGCATGATATTTGAGGATTTGTTGTACCTCTGGACACTCGACTATGATGGGTCCGTGGAGGTTGTGTGTGTAGGAAAGTTCTACCCATCCAATTTTTGTCTAGGACTGAAGGTCAACTCTATGATAGGTCCATAATCATGATTGCATATATTTGCATTCCTTAACTCCACCTAATTATGATTGCATAGGTTTGCATTCCCCGACCCCAAAGTAGATTACTTACCGAATATTTCTTGAAATACTCAAGTCACGTGCAATGCATCCTATACGGTTGACGTTACCGAATATTTCTTGAAATACTCAAGTCACGTGCAATGCATCCTATACGGTTGACGTTAAAATACTCAAACGATATACTACTCCTCTATTTTAGGTAAAAACAATGCACCATTGCACCCTTGTACGATTGATGGTTATATCGTAAATAGAGTAATAGCATATAATCTGTAGATCTGTTTTTGCTGTAAAGTAAGAAAGAATTGGAAGGAAGGTAGGCGGAGAGTATGATATATCTCTAAATAAATGAACCTCAGTTTCATACAATCAATCACATGAGAAGTAAAAACCCAGAACCGCTAATAATAATAACAAGAGATGAAACAACAAGAAGAAAGCCTGAACGAGTTGTTCTAAAACGAACCCGAAACCAAAGAAAAGAAGAAAAAATATGATGTCGATTCGTTCGTGTGACACCGTTTCTTTGTCGGAGTAACGTATGATCATACCTTACCCACAATCCAATTATACATATCAATCAAATCAAATTACAAGTAAAGAAAGGAAGAAAAGACCTATATTTTCAAGCTCAACCCAAAAACCAAACCCTCTGGAACCTGCTTTCTTTTATGGGACACTTTCTCAAAACAGAAAACAAATTAGCTCTCACAGTATCATATCGTCATATGGGAGGAGGAGGCGGAGGAGGGGGCGGAGGAGGCGAAGGAGGAGGAGGCGGAGGAGGAGGAGTGTATCACAATTACCAAAAACATCATCACCTACTATTATAAAACTCTTGATTTCTGTTGCTTCTATCTTCTTCTTCCTAAGCAGCAATTCCTGAATCAAACAAACATTTTACCATTCATAAACGGATCTTGTTCAAGTAATGTCGTTGCGTTTAATCATGCTTAAACTGATATCAATAAGCTCGAAGATCTAATGTTTGTAGAGATATAATGCACCGCTAGCAGATATTGTCTTCTTTGAGCTTTCCCTTTCGGGTTTACCCTCAAAGATTTTTAAACGGTCTACTACTAGGGAGAGGTTTCTACACCCTTGTAGAGAGTGTTTCGTTCTCCTCCCCAACTGATGTGGGATCTCATAATCCACCCCCCTTCAGGGCCCAGTGTTCTCGCTGGCACTCATTCCTTTCTCCAATCGATGTGGGATCCCTACCAAATCCACCCCCTTCGGGGTCCAACGTTCTTACTTGGCACCCCACCTCGTGTCTACCCCCTTCGGGGAACAGCCTCTTCGCTGGCACATTGTTCGGTGTTTGGCTTTGATACCATTTGTAATAGCCCATCCCCATCGCTAACAGATATTGTCCTCTTTGGGTTTTCCCTTTCGGGCTTACCCTCAAGGATTTTAAAACGCATCTACTAGCGAGAGGTTTCCACACTCTTATAAAGGGTGTTTCGTTCTCCTCTCCAACTAATGTGGGATCTCAAACAATCCACCTCCCTCAGGGCCCAACGTTCTCGCTGGCACTCATTCTTTTCTCCAATTGATGTAGACCCCTACTAAATCCACCCCCTTTAGGGCCTAGCATCTTTACCGGCACATCGCCTTGTGTCTACCCCCTTCAGGGAACAACCTCCTCGTTGGCACATTGCCCGGTGTCTAGCTCTGATATCAGTTGTAACAACCCAACCCACCACTAGCAGATATTGTCCTCTTTGGGATTTCCCCTTCGAACTTACCCTCAAGGTTTTTAAAACACGTCTACGAGAGAGGTTTCCACACCTTTATAAAGAGTGTTTCGTTCTCCTCCCCAACCGATGTGGGATCTCACATGTAACGACGTTAAAAGAACGAAAGAGAGGGAGAGAGATTCACCTCTATTCGACTGTGTATTAGAAACACCATATCCAACGGTATAACCAGAAGCATTGTTTCTACTAATAACATCTGAAGCTGCATTGCCAAGCCCAAACCCAATTGAGGAAGAATCCTCAAGCTCTGTGGGCAATGACTGCCAACTTGAATGCCCATAAAATGAGTTTCCTTCTTCATTATTCCCATGAACTTCATCATAAATATTTGGTGCAGAGTACAAAGAAGCTGAAGAAACATTGCTTCTAATGCTTCTACCATAACCTACCACGCTTCCTCCGTTTCCAAACTCGACGTTACCAGCACCATTGAATGGAGAAGAACCCGTGTTTTCGCCATGACCTACACCCCAAAGCCCTCCAATACCGTTCAATGAACTCGTTCCCGTATGCACACCACCAGAGCCAGGAAATGTCCTCAGGTGCGAGGCGTTTGTACCAGCCGAGTTACCGACATTTCCCCACAGATTCTGAACCGACGAGCTTAAAATAGAACCATTACCTCCACTGCCTCCGCCATATACCATGGGGCTTGGACTACCATACCTATTTAAATTTCCACCATAGGAAGAACTCATTACCCGTCCGTAAATGAGGTTAGAACTGCCATTGGGACCGGTCCCATAGTTGAGGTTCAACCCTGCGTCGAGATTTACACCTATTCCATAACCAGGACTAATTGGAGACAGCCCACCCCGACCGACCGTAACAGGACTAAACCTACCATCAGATCTCAGTCCATATCCCCCAACTGAGGTTGTGTTATATCCTTGATTATAACCACTTAAATAGCTACCAACTCTACCAAAACTGTAAGGGTATGCACCTAATTGATTTCGGTTTGGCACTGGTGATAATTCTTTTGGAACAGCTCTCTTAACCTCAACCATTTTACCATTGAGTTCATGAAATGTTTTGTATAACACTTTCTCCACCGATTCCTCCGACTCGTATGTGATAAATCCAAAGCCTCTCGGTCTCTGAGTATTGTGATCATACATCACCACGGCATCTGTGATCGTTCCAAACTGATCAAAATATTTTTTAAAGTCACTCTCCGTAACCGTTGATGCCAAACCCCCTACAAATATCTTCTTTGTGCGAGTCGGGCCAGGTGACCCAAGGATACCGGTATTGTTCCTGCTCAAAATGTTCTGATCGTCTCGAGGAACAGCCTTCTTTGCTTCAACCTAAAACAAAAAAATGAATATCGAAACATGAACATGATAAACTTTACTCTAATTGCGATACAAATAGATATATCTTGACGCAACAAAATGTATCGTTTTAATATAAGCGGTGAACATCACATGTAAATCCTAATGTCCATGCATCCACGAACTCCATAAGATATCGAGCCCCCTAATTTGCACAAATCTGAGTTTCAATTCTTCCGATGTCCTTTCTCGGTCGAGGGTATAGCTAATTACCATTGAGTTACGCTCACTTGGACTAGTTTCAAACCTTTTTTCGTGCAAATAAATTCCTTTACTGTCATCGTGCTTATTACCTTTTCTAGAACATGTATAAACAATCGGTTCCCAAAACGATTGACATTCGGGGCAAATGCAGGCGGCATTGTACTTCCACAAAAATATGAACAGCCACATGAAACAAAATTCACCCTGATAAAATGCAGACAGCCAAATCTTCCCCTCCAAAGCTCCAAAGGAAAATTATAGTTTATATGTTACCCCTCCAAAGCTCCAAAGGAAAATTATAGTTTATATGTTTTTCAAAACAAAAGTGATTCGACGTTAACTAGTGTTAGGAACCACGACTCTCCACAATGGTATGATTGTCCACTATTTGGTTGCCCCAAAAGACCTCGTACTAATGGAGATGTATTCCTTACTTATAAACTCCTAAATTAGCCAACGTGGGACACACCACTTGAGTCCCTTTTGACTACACCTTCGAGGCTCACAACTTCTTTGTTCGACATTTGAGGATTCTATTGATATGGCTAAGTTAAGGGCATGACTCTGATACCATGTTAGGAATCACAGACCTCCACAATGGTATGATATTGTCCACTTTGAGTATAAACTCTTATGACTTTGCTTTGGGCTTCCCCGAAAGGCCTCATACCAATGGGGATGTATTCCTTACTTATAAACCCTTAAATTAGCCAATGTAGGACACACCCTTTGTTCGACACTTGAGTCACTTTTGACTACACCTTCGAGGCTCACAACTTCTTTATTCGACATTGAGAATTCTATTCACATGGCTAAGTTAAGGGCATGACTTTGATACCATGGTAGGAATCCTAGACCTCCACAATGGTATGGTATTGTCCACTTTGAGCATAAGCTCTCGTAACTTTGCTTTTCAGTTTCCCAAAACGGCCTAATATTAATGGAGATGTATTCCTTACTTATAAACTCAGTATCATTCCCTAAATTAGCAAATGTACGACTCCCTCCCAACAATCCTCAACAAGAGGTTCAAATTCTCATCCTCGAGTTGTTGAACTCAAAAAAAAAATGTAAATGTAAGAAGAGTTGTGACAAGTTTCAATCATGATGAACACCAAAGAACAATCAGGAAAACCATGATCCTTCCATGAGCATATTGATTAGCAAAATCAAAAGAAGAATTCAAAAAACTTACAGTTCTTCCATCAATAACATGCTTCTCCAATACAACTCTAGCTGCAACAACAGGGTCAGAAAACACGACGAAACCGAAGCCACGAGCACGGCCAGTGTTCCGATCCCTCATGATCATCACCTCCACCACTTCTCCATAGGTTTGAAAATACTGTTTAAGTCGATCTTCATCTGTGTCCCACGAAATACCCCCAATAAAAAGCTTGCCAGGATCCATGAGCCCACTCTACAAATCCATCCCAACTAACCCCATCAAATACCATTCAACAAAATGAATCCACAAACCACACACCAATAGCATATCTTAAACACAAACAATCCAAAGAAGCATTGATTAGGGAAGCATCACAATGCAAGCTAAATTAAACAAACAAATTCATCATCAAAATGATTGAAATCAGATTCGATCTCAGAACATCGGAGCGGCCACGATGGATCTAGAAGCCAGAAATGCTCAAAAGGCCAAAGGAAGAAAAGGGGAATGAGCGGAGAGGTCAAAATTGAGAGGAAATGAGTCTTGATTGAAAACCCAGAAAGCATTGGAGTAAAAGGATTGCAAGAAAAGAAGGAAGAATAAAAAACTTACCGAAATGAAAAGGACCCAGGTGGGAAGTGTAGAATCTAAGATCTAAGAGAAGGCATAATAAGAAGAGAGGGCGAGAGGCCCTCCTTTTTTGCTATCTCTTCCGTCCCAGCTACTGTTTTGGTTTATGTTCAACATAAATATGCAATATCAAGTAAGGTAACCAAGGGTATATATGAAACAGGGAGGTGAAGGATATTTGTGTAAGAGAAGGAATTTGCATCTGAAATGCCCCAATATTGGGTATACATTTATATATATATATATATATATATCTATAGGTAGGGAGAGAAAAAACCAGAAAAGAGAGACCTGGCTGATTTTACTAGAGAATTTTTTTTATTTTTTATTTGAGGAATAATTATTGATTTTGTGGCATTGGAAGTAGTCAATGTGAATTAAAAAAAAAAAAAAAAAATGAAGTTTTTGAGTGTTAATTCCCCAAATTACTTACTGTGGAGGCAAGGAATGAGCCATTTTAGGATGAACTTAGCTTATCCACCTTTTTCAATTTTTTAATTCAATTAAATTAATAAAAATAATTTTAAATTTTCTATTTTCTACTCTTACATTTTTTAACGTTTTAATACTATTTTTTTTTAAATCTATAATAATTAAGGAAGACCGTTACTAATCTTTTATTTAAAATTTTTTTACTAAATTTCATTAATATTTTTTTAACTCTTTTTTTAAATTAAAAATATTTTTAGCTCCATGCTTTTAAAAAATATCCATTAAATATTAGGAATACTGCCAACCCTCTTTACCTTTAAAAAAAATTAAAAATTTCTTGCCTATTTAATTATTTAATTCATACTTGTCACCAACAAAAGCAATACTTTATTAAAATAGATTTAATTTCTTAGTTAGAGAGATAATTTTCCTCCCAAATACAGGAACAGTATACACAACAACATATTCGAACATTTAAGCTCTCGGTCGAGAACATTTAAATTAGTTAAATTTTTTTAATACGAAAATAGAGAGGGGAGGAAAAAGAAAAAGTGGGGTAAAGACTTTAAAGGGATTGCTTGTGGTCACACACATTCTTGTGGAGTTTAATAAAATAGATGTTCAAGTTCAATGAACCAAGTTATATGTAATCAAATTATGGACTAAGGGGGAGATCACCAATTTGAATGGTTGAAATGAATCCCAAACAATCTTCAATATCACACTAACAACCTGAGAGGACAACATTTAAATAAACCAAACCTATTAATCCTAATCCTTCTTTTCATCATCGATGTGAGGTTCGTATGACTCAATATCAACCAAGATTATTCCATTCAAACTACAAAAAGGGTTGGGGTAAACTTTTGGAAAACTAAAAAATTCATCATCCGTACATGATGTGTCTCTCGATTTGTTTCATGACCGAGGACGATGGTGCATCATCCAACACACCAAGAGTGTGCAATGAAGCTAAGTCGAGGCATATACAAGGTTCTAGAGAATGAGGCGATACGAGTGTCGAAGACAAGTTCGAAAATGGTTGGGTAGGGCCTTAAACCATAACCTAAGAAGTTGGAGTTCTGATATGAGTTTCATATACGGCTCAAGAATTAAGTCTGTCGATATGAAAGATAAAAGTTCACCAATTTAGTGTCAATCGAATACTCGATAGACTATGCACAAGGCTGTATGTCTACTCGCCAAAATGACATCTACTCGAGAATGATTGAAAATGCCTTCAGGAGGCATGGTGTCAACTCTCCATCACCTTGAGCCCTGTGACCTAAGCGAGCTCTACCTTGTGGCACGTATGAGTGTCACAAGATAAGCATCTCGGACGTCTTCTTTTGAGAAAGGTCTTTCAAGGACAGTACCAAAAATCTCAAGATTTCCAACGAATGTCGTTTCGTGACTTCTTCCAGTTTTTTTTTTTTTTTTTTGCTACATTTTAAAACCATCTAAAAGTTTAGGAGTATTTTTGAAACAATATTAACTATTTTCATCTAAATTCCATAGGAGTATTTTTATTAATTTAATTTAATTTTAGATGATAAATAAAAAAAAAAAAAAAAAA